CTCATCTATTCAACCCTCTGAGATTCCATTCAATTACCGTCTGTTATTTACATTTAAATTAATATTTAACTTACCCTTTTAATTTCTTTTATTACTAATTTAACTACATTGTTATTTCTCTTGTATTACTATCATACATCCTTGTTATTTCCTCATTATTAAATATAACCATTACACCCCTGTTATTCTTTTTATTACTATCCTACTCCTTGTTATTACTCTTTTATTACTATTTACTCCTATGTTATGTTTCTCCTTTATTATTACTATTTCAAATCCTTGTATTATTTCTCTTTTATTACTATTTAACTCCTTGTTATTTCTCTTTTATTACTATCTCTACCTTGTTATTTCTCTTTTGTTACTATCTAACTCCTTGTTATTTCTCTTTTATTACTATCTACTCCGTGTTATTTCTCTTTATTACTAATCTCACTCCTTGTTATTTCTCTTTTATACTATTTACTCCTTGTTATTTCTCATTTTTGTTACTATCTACTCCTTGTTATTTCTCTTTTAATTACTATCTACTCCTTGTTATTTCTCTTTTATTACTATCTACTCCTTGTTATTTCTCTTTTGTTACTATCTACTCCTTGTTATTTCTCTTTTATTACTATCTACTCCGTTGTTATTTCTCTTTTATTACTATCTACTCTTGTTATTTCTCTTTTATTACTATCTACTCCTTGTTATTTCTCTTTTGTTACCTATCTACTCCTTGTTATTTCTATTTTATTACTATCTACTCGTGTTATTTTCTCTTTTATTACTATCTACTCCTTGTTATTTCTCTTTTATTACTATCTACTCCTTGTTTTTCTCATCGTATATACTACTTATTCGTGTTTCTCTTAATTGCTATTACAAGATTGGGCCGACAGCTGGTCTATACCCCGATTAAATAACAACCCCACAAATAGAGGCCATATAATAACCATTACAAACCCCTCAAATAGAGCATATAACATAACAAACCCCTCACATCTCATAGAGGATATAACATTACAAACCCCTCAAATAGAGCATATAACATAACAAACCCTCAAATAGAGCATATAACATTACAAACCCCCTCACATAGAGTATATAACATTACAAACCCTCAAATAGAGCATATAACATTACAAACCCCTCAAATAGAGCATATAACATTACAAACCCCTCAAATAGAGCATATAACATTACAAACCCCTCAAATAGAGCATATAACATTAAAAACCCCTCACATAAAGTATATAACATTATAAACCCCTCAAATAGAGGATATAACATTACAAACCCCTCAAATAGAGTATATAACATTACAAACCATCAAATAGAGTATATAACATTACAAACCCCTCACATAAAGTATATAACATTACAAACCCCTCACATAAAGTATATAACATTACAAACCCCTCACATAAAGTATATAACATTACAAACCCCTCAAATAGAGCATATAACATTACAAACCCCTCAAATAGAGCATATAACATTACAAACCCCTCACATAAAGTATATAACATTACAAACCCCTCAAATAGTGCATATAACATTACAAACCCCTCACATGATAGAGGATATAACATTACAAACCCCTCAAATAGAGTATATAACATTACAAACCCCTCAAATAGAGTATATAACATTACAAACCCCTCACATAGAGGATATAACATTACAAACCCCTCATATAGAGTTTATAACATTACAAACCCCTCACATATATGATATAACATTACAAACCCCTCATATAGAGGATATTATAACATTACAAACCCCTCAAATAGAGGCTGAGACAGAGCTGACGTGCTCAGTAAATGTGACGGATTATTCTCCATCATACTGATGAATAATTCCCATGGTTCCTGGCCTCCGTATTCAATGATAATCATCAAGTAAGACTCTTAACATGGTAGAGTGAGAGGCCGGCTACGCAAGGGTTACTAGTTGTTACTGTGAGGGTTACTAGTTGTTACTGTGAGGGTTACTAGTTGTAACTGTGAGGGGTACTAGTTGTAACTGTGAGGGTTACTAGTTGTTACTGTGAGGGTTACTAGTTGTAACTGTGAGGGTTACTAGTTGTAACTGTGAGGGTTACTAGTTGTAACTGTGAGGGTTACTAGTTGTAACTGTGAGGGTTACTAGTTGTTACTGTGAGGGTTACTAGTTGTAACTGCGAGGGTTACTAGTTGTAACTGTGAGGGTTACTAGTTGTTACTGTGAGGGTTACTAGTTGTAACTGCGAGGGTTACTAGTTGTTACTGTGAGGGTTACTAGTTGTAACTGTGAGGGTTACTAGTTGTAACTGTGAGGGTTACTAGTTGTTACTGTGAGGGTTACTAGTTGTTACTGTGAGGGTTACTAGTTGTAACTGCGAGGGTTACTAGTTGTTACTGTGAGGGTTACTAGTTGTAACTGTGAGGGTTACTAGTTGTAACTGTGAGGGTTACTAGTTGTAACTGTGAGGGTTACTAGTTGTAACTGCGAGGGTTACTAGTTGTTACTGTGAGGGTTACTAGTTGTAACTGTGAGGGTTACTAGTTGTAACTGTGAGGGTTACTAGTTGTAACTGTGAGGGTTACTAGTTGTAACTGTGAGGGTTACTAGTTGTTACTGTGAGGGTTACTAGTTGTAACTGTGAGGGTTACTAGTTGTTACTGTGTCTTCATGTCATGAGAGTCAATAGATCTGGTCATTGAGTAGATACACATGGCTTCTTATTATGTGCGCAGTTGTGAGGGTTTCGCTCTGTCTTGTGTATCGGGCCATACTCTTTAGACAATAAATGTGTCTTATTTCTCAGTTCATTTCTCTGTCAGTTCATTTCTCTTTCAGTTCATTTCTCTGTCAGTTCATTTCTCTGTCAGTTCATTTCGCTGCCAGTTCATTTCTCTGTCAGTTCATTTCTCTGTCAGTTCATTTCTCTGCCAGTTCATTTCTTTGTCAGTTCATTTCTCTTTCAGTTCATTTCTCTGTCAGTTCATTTCTCTGTCAGTACATTTCTCTGCCAGTTCATTTCTTTGTCAGTTCATTTCTCTTTCAGTTCATTTCTCTGTCAGTTCATTTCTCTGTCAGTTCATTTCTCTGTCAGTTCATTTCTCTGTCAGTTCGTTTCTCTGTCAGTTCATTTCTCTGTCAGTGCATTTCTCTGTCAGTTCATTTCTCTGTCAGTTCATTTCTCTGTCAGTTCATTTCTCTGTCAGTTCATTTCTCTGTCAGTTCATTTCTCTGTCAGTTCATTTCTCTGTCAGTTCATTTATTTGTCAGTTCGTTTCTCTGTCAGTTCATTTCTCTGTCAGTTCGTTTCTCTTTCAGTTCATTCATTTTTAAGTTGCAAAGTTACCATGGTAACGAGGGTTGTTACACGCACGTGCGTCGTGCACGTGTAAAGATTGGAGAGCGACATTTTGATCAGTTTTGTGGTAATTACGTTGTGTACAAATTGTTTTACATTCAAATCGGCTGTATCTTCGGTTGGGATGAATCTTTCTGTATGTGATTTATTTTCAAAGAATACTACTAGCTATATAATATTATATTATATATATATCATATATTATATATTATATTATATGCATTATAATATTATAATTGATAATTTGATGTATTATAATGGTAACTTGATGTAGCACTTTAGAGACAATGTGAAAATTGCGAAAAGGCTACAGTAAACCAGGTAACTAAACCCTAACTAACGACTCCCTAGTAACGTACTCCCTAGTAACGTACTCCCTAGTAACGTACTCCCTAGTAACGTACTCCCCAGTAACGTACTCCCTAGTAACGTACTCCCTAGAACGTCTCCCTAGTAACGTACTCCCTCGTAACGTACTCCCTAGTAACGTACTCCCTAGTAACGTACTCCTAGTAACGTACTCCCTAGTAACGTACTCCCTAGTAACGTACTCCCTAGTAACGTACTTAGTTAACTACCCTAGTAACGTACTCACTAGTAAAGATTAACGTACATTTTGACTTTGTGTAAACTCTAGTACAAACGTGTAATCAATCGCTAGTAACCGTGTAACTCCTAGTACGTACTCCCTAGTAAACGTACTCCCTAGTAACGTACTCCCTAGTAACGTACTCCCTAGTAACGTACTTCCCTAGTAAGCATTAGTAACTATCCCTATAACTGTAACTCCCTAGTAAACGTAACTTCCTAGTAACGTATCCCTATAAACGTACTCCCTAGTAACGTACTCCCTAGTAACGTACTCCCTAGTAACGTACTCCCTAGTAACGTACTCCCTAGTAACGTACTCCCTAGTAACGTACTCCCTAGTAACGTACTCCCTAGTAACGTACTTCCTAGTAACGTACTCCCTAGTAACGTACTCCCTAGTAACGTACTCCCTAGTAACGTACTCCCTAGTAACGTACTCCCTAGTAACGTACTCCCTAGTAACGTACTCCCTAGTAACGTACTCCCTAGTAACGTACTCCCTAGTAACGTACTCCCTAGTAACTGACTTACTGACATGCGTGTGTTAACACGTGTCTTGTTGTCATGTTGACACGGTGCAATGTGCCCATTTTAACAGTGTATACATTGTGCACTCTGTAGGAGTGTAGGAGTGTAGGAGTGTATAGTTAATATTGTGTGGTTAAATGTTATAATCTTAGTATAGGGCATCCTGCAACAAATTTCTGTTTTAAAATGATTAAAATATCTGAAATCCTTGTTACTTGTGTAATGTGATGTGAAGCGGTTTTCATCAAAGAACTTCTCTTGCTCATTACTGAGCATTTATTCTAAAATTTGGTATTTGTAAAATTTAGCGACCAACGATTATACTGTACCCAGCATACGATGTGTCTTCATTGTAAGCTCCTGTTTCATTCATCCACACTCCATTTCATGTCTATTAAATCTTCATTCTATACGATCATACCTGATTTGATAATCAATAATGACTAATTAATTAGAAGATTGCCATTAATTAGGCGTTAATGTGGCGAGGATGCTGTACTCCGCAAACGTTCCTAGCTTAACTAATTGACTGTAGCAATTGCAGTTGCGTGGTGAGGATGCCGTTGTCGGAGCCCAATGTAGAGAGGTACCTTGAGGAGCATCCCGGTTATCTGCACAAGTACGTGGTTACCCATCTCTCCGAGACAGACCTTAAGGAGCTATACGAGCACTGGTACAAGGTAAGCAGGGTCACTATAGCAACCCTGCTATAGTTCAGCTATAAGCAGGGTCACTATTGAGTTGCTATAGTTCAGCTATAAGCAGGGTCACTATTAAGTTGCTATAGTTCAGCTATAAGCAGGGTCACTATTAAGTTGCTATAGTTCAGCTATAAGCAGGGTCACTATTAAGTTGCTATAGTTCAGCTATAAGCAGGGTCACTATTAAGTTGCTATAGTTCAGCTATAAGCAGGGTCACTATTAAGTTGCTATAGTTCAGCTATAAGCAGGGTCACTATTAAGTTGCTGTAGTTCAGCTATAAGCAGGGTCACTATTAAGTTGCTGTAGTTCAGCTAAAGGCAGGGTCACTATTAAGTTGCTATAGTTCAGCTATAAGCAGGGTCACTATTAAGTTGCTATAGTTCAGCTATAAGCAGGGTCACTATTAAGTTGCTATAGTTCAGCTATAAGCAGGGTCACTATTAAGTTGCTATAGTTCAGCTATAAGCAGGGTCACTATTAAGTTGCTGTAGTTCAGCTATAAGCAGGGTCACTATTAAGTTGCTGTAGTTCAGCTAAAGGCAGGGTCACTATTAAGTTGCTATAGTTCAGCTATAAGCAGGGTCACTATTAAGTTGCTATAGTTCAGCTATAAGCAGGGTCACTATTAAGTTGCTATAGTTCAGCTATAAGCAGGGTCACTATTAAGTTTCTATAGTTCAGCTATAAGCAGGGTCACTATTAAGTTGCTATAGTTCAGCTATAAGCAGGGTCACTATTAAGTTGCTATAGTTCAGCTATAAGCAGGGTCACTATTAAGTTGCTATAGTTCAGCTATAAGCAGGGTCACTATTAAGTTGCTATAGTTCAGCTATAAGCAGGGTCACTATTAAGTTTCTATAGTTCAGCTATAAGCAGGGTCACTATTAAGTTGCTATAGTTCAGCTATAAGCAGGGTCACTATTAAGTTGCTATAATTCAGCTATAAGCAGGGTCACTATTAAGTTGCTATAGTTCAGCTATAAGCAGGGTCACTATTAAGTTGCTATAGTTCAGCTATAAGCAGGGTCACTATTAAGTTGCTATAGTTCAGCTATAAGCAGGGTCACTATTAAGTTGCTATAGTTCAGCTATAAGCAGGGTCACTATTAAGTTTCTATAGTTCAGCTATAAGCAGGGTCACTATTAAGTTGCTATAGTTCAGCTATAAGCAGGGTCACTATTAAGTTGCTATAGTTCAGCTATAAGCAGGGTCACTATTAAGTTGCTATAGTTCAGCTATAAGCAGGGTCACTATTAAGTTGCTATAGTTCAGCTATAAGCAGGGTCACTATTAAGTTGGTATAGTTCAGCTATAAGCAGGGTCACTATTAAGTTGCTATAGTTCAGCTAAAGGCAGGGTCACTATTAAGTTGGAAGACTGCAGTAATCTAATTTAATCTAGGGTTTCTCTTCATATTGATACCTTGTCCTCAGTTACACATTACACTCGCTTACATTTCAAACTGTAGAGTCTGCCAAGAACTAAGGAAACCGGCTTACGCTAATTAATTAAATCGTTTAAATTAAGATTTATTTGCAAAATTTGGTTTCAAAACATGTTTGTTACCGAAGCCCGGCAAATGATGAGCTAGGAATTGTGTGGCTTCTGTTTTAAGATAAACCATTGAACTGAACAGTAGAGTAACTCTACTGTGAATTGGGAAGCCTCCTGTGTGTCACGCGTATTCCTTGTGTAAGTTATTGTAATTATGTGATGTTAATACCAAATAACGAGTATTAATAATACATTTGAAAAGTAATCAGATACACTTTAAATTTTCTACTTAGATTAAGTTTATTTTACACCTAGCTCAACCACTATCAGGCCCATGGGAGAAAATCGTCAACGGAAAAAGAGCGGAAACGCAGCAGAACGGAAGAAGAGGGGAAGTCGTGCCACACAGTAGAACATAAGACATCCATTGTGGACAACCAGCTAGTGGTACCTCCTGTTACCAAAGCTACTTTAGGTAGGTTACCATGGTTACCATAGTTGGGACTGTAGTTACCATATTAAGGCATTTATAAAGGCATTTATTAACTATTATTAATAACTTGTTGGAAGAACTGTGAGACAGAGCTGGATATTTGTCACGCTGCTGACAGGTATTCTGACCGAGCATAGTTTCGCTAACTTACTCTTGTTCCCAGACCCGCCTGTAAGGGAGGAAGCAATGGACGTGGTACCAGCAGTACCAGCAGTGCCACCTGGCAAGCAGTTACATCACTTCCCCAACAGACAGTTCAGGAAGACCTTGTCAAGGGAGGGTGCGCCCATCCTCAAACCATACAGGAGGTAAGTTAGCTGGTTGTCATGGGGACGGCTCATGGTTGTCATGGAGAGGCTGTATGACCTTGTTATGCTTGTTTTTACTTTCTCGTTACTATGGAGATATGTATCTTATGAAGCTCAAAATCCCGGCCTTGTTTAGATGGAAAGTCTCCATCAAGGCTAAAAATGTAGTCATGTGACGTCAAGAATCACCTGCTGTACTGCACTCAATACCCACACTACTGTAGAATACTTACTATTGTCGCTTACTCAGAGCCTCTCATTTTAGCGAGCTAAGTTGTCAGTTAATTTGTAGCAATTACAATAATAACACTTAAGATATGGTCTGAAAACATACACCTGTCAGCTCTGAATAACAGCTGTAGCAGACCCCCCCTACAGCTCCCAGTAGTACCTGTAACCATGGTAATTACCTGTAACCATGGTAATTACCTGTAACCATGGTAATTACCTGTAACCATGGTAATTACCTGTAACCATGGTAATTACCTGTAACCATGGTAATTACCTGTAACCATGGTAATTACCTGTAACCATGGTAATTACCTGTAACCATGGTAATTACCTGTAACCAATAACCATGGTAATTACCTGTAACCATGGTAATTACCTGTAACCATGGTAATTACCTGTAACCATGGTAATTACCTGTAACCATGGTAATTACCTGTAACCATGGTAATTACCTGTAACCATGGTAATTACCTGTAACCATGGTAATTACCTGTAACCATGGTAATTACCTGTAACCATGGTAATTACCTGTAACCATGGTAATTACCTGTAACCATGGTAATTACCTGTAACCATGGTAATTACCTGTAACCATGGTAATTACCTGTAACCATGGTAATTACCTGTAACCATGGTAATTACCTGTAACCATGGTAATTACCTGTAACCATGGTAATTACCTGTAACCATGGTAATTACCTGTAACCATGGTAATTACCTGTAACCATGGTAATTACCTGTAACCATGGTAATTACCTGTAACCATGGTAATTACCTGTAACCATGGTAATTACAGCTACCACAACCTCAGGGAGTTCAGTCTCACGGGCGAATCCAGCTTTAGCTTCTCAGCCTCACTTCCTAAAAACATTGCCTACATTCAGAATAAGCTTAAGTGAGATTACTTGTGACACCTTTGTGTAGTTCCTGACTAGTTTCCATGACAACATGGCAACTGTCTCCTTTGTGTACCCACTGTAGTACCTGTTACCATGACGACACGGCAAGATTAAGCAAGTTCAAACTGTCTCCATAACAGCTCGTATAGCATTGTAACATACCACTAGGGTCTGGGATGCATTGTAACATACTACTAGGGTCTGGGATGCATTCTAACATACCACTAGGGTCTGGCATGCATTGTAACATACCACTAGGGTCTGGGATACATTGTAACATACCACTAGGGTCTGGCATGCATTGTAACATACCACTAGGGTCTGGGATGCATTGTAACATACCACTAGGGTCTGGGATACATTGTAACATACCACTAGGGTCTGGGATGCATTGTAACATACCATTAGGGTCTGGGATGCATTGTAACATACCACTAGGGTCTGGGATGCATTGTAACATACCACTAGGGTCTGGGATGCATTGTAACATACCACTAGGGTCTGGGATGCATTCTAACATACCACTAGGGTCTGGGATGCATTCTAACATACCACTAGGGTCTGGGATGCATTGTAACATACCACTAGGGTCTGGGATGCATTCTAACATACCACTAGGGTCTGGGATGCATTGTAACATACCACTAGGGTCTGGGATGCATTGTAACATACCACTAAGGTCTGGGATGCATTGTAACATACCACTAAGGTCTGGGATGCATTGTTACATACCACTAGGGTCTGGGATGCATTGTAACATACCACTAGGGTCTGGGATGCATTGTAACATACCACTAGGGTCTGGGATGCATTCTAACATACCACTAGGGTCTGGAATGCATTGTAACATACCACTAGGGTCTGGGATGCATTGTTACATACCACTAGGGTCTGGGATGCATTGTAACATACCACTAGGGTCTGGGATGCATTGTAACATACCACTAGGGTCTGGGATGCATTGTAACATACCACTAGGGTCTGGGATGCATTGTAACATACCACTAGGGTCTGGGATGCATTGTTACATACCACTAGGGTCTGGGATGCATTGTAACATACCACTAGGGTCTGGGATGCATTGTAACATACCACTAGGGTCTGGGATGCATTGTAACATACCACTAGGGTCTGGGATGCATTGTAACATACCACTAGGGTCTGGGATGCATTGTAACATACCACTAGGGTCTGGGATGCATTGTAACATACCACTAGGGTCTGGGATGCATTGTAACATACCACCAGGGTCTGGGATGCATTGTAACATACCACCAGGGTCTGGGATGCATTGTAACATACCACTAGGGTCTGGGATGCATTGTAACATACCACCAGGGTCTGGGATGCATTGTAACATACCACTAGGGTCTGGGATGCATTGTAACATACCACTAGGGTCTGGGATGCATTGTAACATACCACTAGGGTCTGGGATGCATTGTAACATACCACTAGGGTCTGGGATGCATTGTAACATACCACTAGGGTCTGGGATGCATTGTAACATACCACTAGGGTCTGGGATGCATTGTATCATACCACTAGGATCTGTAGGATCGGTAGGAGACAGATAGAAATTGTTCATTCTTGCCTACATATCACGTGATCATGCTTTTCTCTGAGGATTTTTCGTGTTCAATAAAATGCACATAATCATTAAAGAAAGAATCTTGTTTTTTGGTTTGACTTGAAAAAAAAATGCGAGCATGGTTGAAAATTTTACCTTCATACTTTTATAGGTGAAATAGTAAGTTTCACTGTGATCCACTGAAAACAACTTCAGATTTAATTACGCCTTTCTTTTTCTTCCGTGCAGCAACGAGTGATTGTCAACTGTGTGGTAGATTATAGAACTACTTGTCAACTGTTTGCTAGATTATAGAACTACTTGCCAACTGTGTGCTAGATTATAGAACTACTTGTCAACTGTTTGCTAGATTATAGAACTACTTGCCAATTGTGTGCTAGATTATAGAACTACCTGTCAACTGTGTGCTAGATTATAGAACTACTTGCCAACTGTGTGCTAAATTATAGAACTACTTGCCAACTGTGTGCTAGATTATAGAACTACTTGTCAACTGTGTGCTAGATTTTAGAACTACTTGTCAACTGTGTGCTAGATTATAGAACTACTCGTCAACTGTTTGCTAGATTATAGAACTACTTGCCAATTGTGTGCTAGATTATAGAACTACCTGTCAACTGTGTGCTAGATTATAGAACTACTTGCCAACTGTGTGCTAGATTATAGAACTACTTGTCAACTGTTTGCTAGATTATAGAACTACTTGTCAACTGTGTGCTAGATTATAGAACTACTTGCCAACTGTGTGCTAGATTATAGAACTACTTGTCAACTGTGTGCTAGATTATAGAACTACTTGTCAACTGTGTGCTAGATTATAGAACTACTTGTCAACTGTGTGCTAGATTTTAGAACTACTTGTCAACTGTGTGCTAGATTATAGAACTACTTGTCAACTGTGTGCTAGATTATAGAACTACTTGTCAACTGTTTGCTAGATTTTAGAACTACTTGTCAACTGTGTGCTAGATTATAGAACTACTTGTCAACTGTGTGCTAGATTATAGAACTACTTGTCAACTGTGTGCTAGATTATAGAACTATTTGTCAACTGTGTGCTAGATTATAGAACTACTTGTCAACTGTGTGCTAGGTTATAGAACTACCTGTCAACTGTGTGCTAGATTATAGAACTACCTGTCAACTTGTGCTAGATTATAGAACTACTTGTCAACTGTTTGCTAGATTATAGAACTACTTGTCAACTGTGTGCTAGGTTATAGAACTACCTGTCAACTGTGTGCTAGATTATAGAACTACCTGTCAACTTGTGCTAGATTATAGAACTACTTGTCAACTGTTTGCTAGATTATAGAACTACTTGTCAACTGTGTGCTAGATTATAGAACTACCTGTCAACTGTGTGCTAGATTATAGAACTACCTGTCAACTTGTGCTAGATTATAGAACTACTTGTCAACTGTGTGCTAGATTATAGAACTACTTGTCAACTGTGTGCTAGATTATAGAACTACTTGTCAACTGTGTGCTAGATTATAGAACTACTTGCCAACTGTGTGCTAGATTATAGAACTACCTGTCAACTGTGTGCTAGATTATAGAACTACTTGTCAACTGTGTGCTAGATTATAGAACTACTTGTCAACTGTGTGCTAGATTATAGAACTACTTGTCAACTGTGTGCTAGATTATAGAACTACTTGTCAACTGTGTGCTAGATTATAGAACTACTTGCCAACTGTGTGCTAGATTATAGAACTACTTGTCAACTGTGTGCTAGATTATAGAACTACTTGTCAACTGTGTGCTAGATTATAGAACTACTTGTCAACTGTGTGCTAGATTATAGAACTACTTGTCAACTGTGTGCTAGATTATAGAACTACTTGTTAACTGTGTGCTAGATTATAGAACCACTTGTCAACTGTGTGCTAGATTATAGAACTACTTGTCAACTGTGTGCTAGATTATAGAACTACTTGTCAACTGTGTGCTAGATTATAGAACTACTTGTCAACTGTGTGCTAGATTATAGAACTACTTGTCAACTGTGTGCTAGATTATAGAACTACTTGTCAACTGTGTGCTAGATTATAGAACTACTTGTCAACTGTGTGCTAGATTATAGAACTACTTGTCAACTGTGTGCTAGATTATAGAACTACTTGTCAACTGTGTGCTAGATTATAGAACTACTTGTCAACTGTGTGCTAGATTATAGAACTACTTGTCAACTGTGTGCTAGATTATAGAACTACTTGTCAACTGTGTGCTAGATTATAGAACTACTTGTCAACTGTGTGCTAGATTATAGAACT